CACTCGCTGTAAATGCAGAAATGATTGGCCGTATCACTATGCAACAAAGAAATCTATTGCTTTGGCCCTGAATTCGGGAAGAGAATAAATTAAAACTCTCAAAAGGAGAAAAAGGGAGAGAGGAATGGTGCCGAGTGTAGATGGTCGTCATAACTAACAAAACAGGCCAGGGGGATGTAAGGGTGATGCCATGCGTCCCATCATGTTAGACTGGACAGACCGAAGGATGGCTGGCAGGGTTGCTATCATGGCAAAGGAGCTCTGAAACATTCCTGCTGTATTAAATAATGAAATTAAAAGGCAGGACTCGACACGCGATATCCTCTTCCAATAAGGCTGCAGAACAATTTAATGAAACGGTTATTATTCCGAGTTTACACTCCCCCAAGACACTCGCGAAGACTCCACCTTCTCAATGTTGATTCTGCTTTACCAAAGCCAAAGGATCGCTTACGATCAAACGACAAACATCTATCACATCACACCAGACACCACCGACATCACAAAGGAACTGAGGTCTCTCCCTGCTCCAGGAGAAAGGAGGAGAGCTGGATTTACCCAGAAAATACCATTCTGTCTACAAACCACACCACTGTTCCATGGGAGAGCAGCAAAGAGTCTTAGCCTATGTAACACGTGTTCTGGGATATTATCAACATTATTGTAAGTTTTATTACAAGAACACGGCAATTACAGTGGACAAGTTTGTATTTTTAAAAATCTCTGAATAATCTAGGGCAACCCTGGGAAGGATTTTTATCAATTTGAGCCTTAATACGACTTTGCAATAGTCGATGAAAACAACAGCTGCTGAGCCTGGTAAATCCAAATGAGATTATCAGGTCAAAATCACAGAAACACACAGAGCATTTCAGACCCCAGCACAGGGGCAATGCAACACCAAAATAAAAATCTCACCAGGGAAGGAAGCATTTTGTTTAAAAAGATTTTTTTTTTTTTAAAGATTTGACCATAGTATGTAACAACTCTGAGAATTTACTGGAGAGGAAAGACAGAAAAGCTGTACTGAGAACTTAACTTCCTTTCTTCACGCTTCCAGAGGAACTCTACAGCACACTGTCCCCGCATAACCTAACATTCTATTCTCCACACGCACACAGCGATTTTAAACAACTTGCTTGCTTTCTCAAAAGTAAGGTCATCATAGAATCAACTTTCTTTGCACAGACTGTTAAGTAATGAGACTGGCAAAGTCACGAACTTTGCTACCTCTCAAGTTCACTGTAAAAAGGCCAAAGTTTAAGATATCTAACAAGTAAAATGAAAAAAATTTATTTTTTTTTACTTTCCAAATGTATGTTTCTTTGAATATCTTGAGTACTGACACCCATGGAGACCAATTAGCACCAAACACTTCTCAAGGCTATTTATAAATCTCCATATCTCAATGTATGCACTGATAATAAATGGCCAATAAATAGAAAATGTTCTATTTTTTTCATCTGTGGGACAATGTTGAAATTCATGGGCTATTCTGCTCTGATCCTGGGACCAATTAATAATTTTTTTCTATGATTAGAGAGATGGTTTAGCAGTTAAGAACACTTGTTACTCTTGCAAATTACCCGGGTTTGCTTCCTAGAATCCACATGGTGGCTCACAACCATCCACAACTCTAGTTCCAGAGGATCTAACACCTGATTCTGATTTCTGCAGACACCAGGCATGTACGCAGTACATTTACATGCAGGCAAAACACATGAAATAAAATCAATAAATCTGAAAATCTTTCAAAAGAACCCATAAATCCAATGCATCTGTATTCTTCCTTTTCAGTCAACAACCACGGAAGTCTAATTTCACAGCAGGAACTTGGTTCTACTTTCACAACAACACAAAAGTCAACTGAAGCCTAGTTACTGAACTGACACGTGTCCATCAAAAGACAGAGATTTCCCTACTATCTGTTCCCAGGAAGACAGATGATAGATGTCCCGAGTGAGGACCCAGCCCTAGGAAGCTGCTGAGGGGAGGCAGAAATCATGGATAAACTTGGTGCAGACAAAGCATCAGAACATTTCATGAGAAAACGATAAAATGTGGGAACCCCAGTGTTTCGTACCAGCTGATGTAATGTTGACAACAGCCCCAGGGGGTTTCTTACAGATCAGACAGAACATAACACCGTGACTGACTTAACCCTCCACAACCAGTAACCGTGACAGAGTATAACTGACACCCATGTGACCACTGAAAAGACCAGAATCAGCACCTCAGGTTCCAGACGGAGGACGATGGCAGAGGGACTGCTCTGTGACCCTGAGAGTCACAGGAGCTGCAGAGGAGGAGAGAGCTGAGCCACTGTGAGGACCATGCCCAAGAGTTCACAAGCTTGCCCAAGCAGAGGTCTCTTCTCTCCAGAACCTGGCCTAAAGGTGGGCATGGGTTCAAGGACAAGACTCAAACTGGAAGCCACGAAAACAAGGCATGTCAAAGCCAGTATCTTTGTTCAGTCCGTCTCTCTGGTATACATCGGTGTCTGGCTTTATACCCAAGCTTCAAATGTCCCTGAAATGTTATTATAACAATAAGGGTTACTGTTAGACTGCATTCCACAAATTTAGATGATTATCAATATCAGGAAAGTAATTACTGAAATTATCCATGGTCAACTCGCTATCGTTTAGGTACCTACCTATCTCTGGCTGCCTTCCAAGGCCCCAAGTAGCCGAAGACAACACTGAATTTCGCTTCCTATCTCCACTTCCAAGAGTGGTGGGCATGTGCCACACCACAGCTTACCAAGTGAGAGACCCAGGGCTCTGTAAAACTGACCTGTATTCGCAACCTGTTTTTGTTTGAGGCGGGGCCTCATATAGCCCAGATAGGCCTGGAATTCCGTATGTGGCCGAAGATTAACACCTTGAACCCATAATCCTTCTGCCTCTACTTCTCATGTGTTGGAATTACAGGCATGGACTACTATACCAACTTCAAAGTACCAGTGAAAGAGTTCTGGTACTGCCAACCCTTTTTAATCAAGTCAGTATCCAAATCAGCAACTTTAGACACACAGTCCAGTCGATGGCCACACGGAGGCTGAAAATGAGCTCTCCCCGATCCTACGACCGTCGACCTTAGCATTAGCCAAGATAGGCAGCCTCTCAGGATGCCAGCTTCATCATTAATCAAAACAGAAATAATTCCTGCTGGCCTAGTTTCTACTTCCACACTGATGACAACATCAAAGCCATGACATCTCCCTCCACCCACGAGGTATCAGGGAATGGTGGCCTATGACAGAGGAGACTCCTCACTAATACAACCATTAAGCCTACCACTCTTGCCCAGTCTCTTCGCTCCTGGAAGACAACAAGCCATGGGGACCGCAGACCTTCCTCGTCTCAGCAAATCTCACCCACGCAGGAGTCTATTCTCCCCACAGAACTAACTCCGCTCACTTCCTTCAGACCTCTCCCATTGACGGTGAGAAGACATTCACTTGGGAAATAGCGTTAACATTTGAGGACGTGGTGGAGAACCTACTCCATTCCACCTCTGAAAGGTGACAAAATGTGGGAGTTACACTAACAATGGCAAATGTCAGCAAGCGCAGCTCACCAGTAATCACAACAGGGTCCTTCCGGTAAAAGCCAACAGTCAATCTTAGGTTTCCCCCCTCAGATTTCTTTGATATTAGTCTCTTCTGCTCCATCTCATCTGGGTCTCTCAAGATGATTTCCCTTACCTCCAGTACAGCCACATGCCAGTGTTGCTTGTCTAAACAAACCTGGTGTCACCTTCTGCTTCTTTTTTGTCCTTGGACCATTCTTTGGAGAGCTATGTACTGGGCACAGAGTTACAAAGGAGTTTCCAGTAGGGAGGTGGTAGCGCACGCCTTTAATCCCAGCACTTGAGAGGCAAGTGGATCTCTGTGAGTTTGAGGCCAGCCTGGTCTACAGAGTGAGTTCCAGGACAGCCAAGGCTACACAGAGAAACTGTGTCTCAAAAAAAAAAAAACACCCCAAAACCCAAACCAAACCAAACAAACAAAAAAGGAGTTTCCAAGCCCAGCTCAGGCCGAGCCTGGGCCGGAGTCAGCATGGACACCCAGCTCCCGCTCCTGTGCGCTCTCTCCTCCCCTTCAAGCTACAAAGGGGGAAAGCTGGCTTGGCCAAGTGGATGCACTGTAAGGTGTGTTAGAAATGTAGTGTGCCACTGACTCCAGACACACCTTCAGGTCATTGTTAGAACCATCACAGCAGCTAATGAAATCGCGAATACAAGGTCACTGGGTGAAGAGAAGAGCCGGACAGGCAAGGAAGCAAGAATGGACGGGAGTTCGAGTCCCCTTGTCACAGAGCAGCAGGCCCGTATAGCAATTCGCACGCGAGTCTTAAGTGTGGCTCAAGAGTAATAATGTTACTGTGTCGTTCTAGGCTTGGCATTCCTAACGCTCTTGCTTCTGGCAGTGTTCCTGGTAATTAACTTTTGTTACATAGAAGCATTTATATTGCCATTGCACTTTCATTTTCATTCGCAACCAAGCTGGTAAAAGGTATCTGTGGTTTGGTCTGCAATGGATGAGCCATGACTTTATCATCTAAAACACAGCATTAAATTATTTCATGTTGTATGTACCACCTAAATAAACAAAAATATAAGCAATACAAAATTTAAAACAATAAGATAAATTTAAAAACAGTTGTTTGGAATTGAGCAACTACGTCATTTTGCTTAATACGTGGGTAGTTTATGAGCACCCTGGGAATACCATCCTTAAAGATGCAATGTATAAAGAACGAATATGAATGTAGGTTAAAAATGAAGTGTGGATAGCTACTGAGTCTTACAGAAATCACACATTTTCACAAAATCTAGAGACTCTTTCATTGTAATTTTAAAGCAAGCATAAATTTAGCATGAATTAATTGACTGCATTTAAAAACTTCAGGGGTAAGGAGCAAAATACCATAAACTATTAGTCTTTGGGGCTGCTTTTTATGAAGTTAGAGGAAAATTTGATGAAAGCCAAGTACCTTGAACAGGGGACATCCTAAGCAGGTAGCTCTCCATTCAAAGATTAGGTTGAGGAAAATGTAAAGTTTATGACTGGCACGCATTAAAAACTCCCCAAATACGAACGTCTGTACTGTAGACTCTTCACAGACTTCCGTGGGTCATTCTCCACCCTCGTTAATCCTGGGGAGGGAAAGGACAAAGGGCATCAGTCCACAGCCCAGCGTCTCTTCCAGTGGGTTGCTCCAGTCTGCCCCCCCCCCCCCCCCGTGACGACGCCTATTACATATGCCATGATCTCCATTCTGACTGTGCTCATCACCATGGCAACAAGGCACACAAATGAAAAAGTAGGCTAGAGATTCCAAACTCTCGGGGTGGAAGTGAGGATGGGAAAGGGGCCTCTGGTTCATTACGAGAGAAAAGGTTAGAGCTTCTTCTGTCAGAGTGGTCTATGCGTTAAAGGGTGAGTCCAGTGGGAAAAGTAGGCTTTGTTGTCATTAAATCAACAACAGAAAATTATAAAATTTAGTAAACGCAGGCCAGGTGTAGTGGTGCATGCCTTTAGCACTCTGGAGGCAGAGGCAGGTGGATCTCTGAAGCCAGCCTGGTCTACATGGTGATTCCAAGACAGTCAGGGCTATGTAGAAACCCTGTCTGAAAGAGAGAAACAGACAGACAGACATAGAGACAGACAGAGACAGAGAGAGAGACAGAGAAAGAGAGAAGTTCAGCAAATGCCACTGTTTATAGGAGGTAGAATGATAAACATCTTGGATTATAAAGCTAACTGAGTTTTACTAAAAAATTTGACTATGTAAATGAAAATGTTTAACTGCTACCTACTTTTGGAAATCCCACACTGAGCCAAGGGTGTGGACAATGACAACCTCTGACTTTTGGTTACGTCATAGATCTGAAAGAGCAGAGACATCTGCTAAGGAAGTGTGGTTGAGGCGATAAGCCACATGATGAGCACTTTCTAGACAAGCTTATCTTCCATGCTCCTCTATAAAATGTGCCCAGAGGAAATTCCTGGGTGGGGGTGGCACTTGTGTCCCTGGGCGGAAGGAAGCCACTGTGTCTGCTAGAAGAGGGAGGTGGCTTTCTCCACGGCCTGCTCCTCTCCCGTCTACACGCTCAGATCTTCTAACCCTACCGCTCTGTTCCTTTAAAATTGGAAGAAGCCCCTGTCCTTAAGAAACACTCTTAGCAGCCGGGCGGTGGTGGATCCCAGCACTCAGGAGGTGGAGGCAGGTGGGTCTCTATGAGTTTGAGGCCAGCCTGGGCTACAGAGTGAGTTCTAGGACAGCCAAGACTACATAGAATAACTGTCTTGAAAAACTAAAACAAAATAACTACAACACTCTCTTCAAGACTTCCATCTCCCTGAGGTGTTTTTTGTTTTGCTTTTTCCTTCCTGATCATCATCTTGAGTTCTTGTTCATCCTTTTCTGGGACATGTGAATACTTGTGATTTATTTATATTTCTCCAAGAAATCACTGGCAGGTTGAAGGTCTGCCTAGGGCCTGTCCCCCGAGACTGGTGTTTTCCTGTAACCTTACACAGTGGGAAGCTCAGACTTGATCCTCTGCGTGGATATTCATCTCACCCTGTTCATGATGACTCCACTCTCGTGAACCAGTCTCCTCCCAGACACCTAAACTTTGGGGTTAGGGTCTCACTTGTGAATTCTGGGAGCCAAGGATCTTAGATATTCCTAATCCAATCAAGGTGACACTCAAAAAACAAGCCATTACAAGATCACCATGAGCATTGTGAATGTAAATGCTTAAAAAATTTTTTTTGTTTTTGTTTTTTGAGACAGACTTTCCCTGTGTTCTGGCTGTCCTGGAACTTGCTCTGTAAATGAGGCTGGCCTTGAACTCACAGTGATGTACCTGCCTCTGCCTCCTGAGTGCTGGGATTAAAGGCGTGCACTACCATGCCCAAGTTGTAAATGCTTTAATACAAGTGACAGAAATATAATCAGTGATGCTCCTGAAATCCAGGACAGATTTGCTCCAAGTTGTTGAGAGAAGGAGTTGGGATCAGGTGCCAAGTGTCTTCTCCCAGAGGCCAGAGCGTCCAGGAGCCCAGACAAGCCCAAGAAAGGCCCCACTCACAAATCACACTCAGTCCTTGTTGTGGTTTGAATGTAACTGTCCCCATAGTCTCATAAGGAGTGGCACTATTAGGAGGTGTGGCTTTGTTGGAGGAAGTGTGTCACTGTGGGGGTGGGCTTTGAGGTTTCCTGTGCTCAAGGACACCACTCAGCGTCTCAGCTGACTTCCTGTTGCCTGCAAGATGTAGGACTCTCAGCTCTTACTCCAGCACCACGTCTGCCTGCACGCCATCTGAACTGTAAGCCAGCCCCAATGAAATGTTTTCTTTATAAGAGTTGCTGTGGTCATGGTGTCTCTTCACAGCAATAGCAGCCCTGACTAAGACAGTTCTCTATGCTTGCATTACTCCATAAGGAAAATGCCCTGGGTCTCTGCAGGGCCCATACACTTTCACAGGTCGTAGCTAATAACCTCTTTCCGAGAAAAAATTTAACATTCTTGATAAAATGTTCATCTTTCCCCCTTTAAATAGGATTAAGATCTATACTCTTAGAGACCTGGCCTGGTGACGCAGGCCTTTAGTCCTAGCACTCAGGAGACAGAGGTAGACACATCTCTTAAGTTCAAGGCAAGCCTGGTCTACATAGTGAGTTCCAGGGCCAACTATTATAGAAACCAATCAACTGTTGACCCAGCTGACTGCCAGCTAAGTATCTGGTGATTTTTTTAGCCACAGTTCTGTTCTGGGAGTTTGCTCCTATGTTTTAAATGGATGTAGCAATACTTTGGTATCCAATTTTTATCTCCAGTGGGGATATTCCAAAGAATGACAGTCTGAACTATACTCGTCTCTATTGAAAGCTCAAACTTTTAAGTCACCCCTTCAGCTGACCCTGAAAGCTGATAGCTGATTTGATTAAGGTTTTTGTTTTTAAGTATCCAAACCGCTGCTCTTCAAAGTGGGTATAAGGTTGGGGAGTCACTTTTGTAGGGAGAGGTATTCTGACAGGATCCATCTCCAGAGAGTTAACCTTTGCCTGAAATGATCTCTGTCACTGGCAGCCTGGTGTGGGGTGTCCCCCACCCCTAAACTATTTTCTTTATTTCTCTTTTCAGATCCGCCATTTTCCCACATTACAAAAGAAGGACAAGCCTTGTTCTCAGCAGTCAGCTCGTTTGCCTTGCCTTGGGGTACAGTTTTCAGGTCACTGAGCAAAGCGTCATTTTGAAATCCCCTAGGGTTACAGGTGTTGAGGAAATGAAAGGACTCGGTGACCAAGAAGCAAGTGCTCTGACTCTGGGGGAACGTTGCCATTTCTCGGCCTGGAGCAGCGTGAAGGAGGGCCTACTCTATTAGCTCAGGAAGACAAGGCTGCCCCCTGCCCCATCAATCACTAGATAACCTGTGAGGAGCACTCAGCAGTTTAAGAGAGAGTGGATTGTACTGCTCTGCTCCCTCCTCTCAGGGAAGATTTCTTAAGCATTTGATTAGATATTCTTATGTGGGCAGCAAGTAGTATTTACCACATGCAAATAAGCTTCTAAGTCCTCCACATATCCACATATGAAGGGACGGTTTTCTAACATAAATTTCATCTGTGTTGTGTGTGAGTGTATGAGTATGTGTGTTAGTGTGAGTGTGTGAGCGTGTGAGTGTATGAGTGTGTGAGTGTGTTTGTGACCATGCACCAGGGAGCATATGTGGAAGTCAGAGGATAACTTGGGAGTCTCTCCTTCCACCATGTTGGTTCTGGGATCAAACTCAGGTCTTCAGGCTTGGTGGTGGATACGCTTATCCACTGAGTCATCCCGCCAGCTCAATCATCAATGTTTTAATAGGCTTGATGGTGTTAGTTGTATACAAGTAAAATAACTCAACTTTTAAATGTTCTGTAGTATTTAAAGCTTAGTTGTGATAAGTTGTGAAATACGTTAGATTTACTGTGTTGGTAAAAAGGTGTCAAAAGAATAGGACGGGCCAACCAAGGTAACACTTCTAAACACATGCATGTTACACCCAGCTCGAGCTTCAGAGAAAATGAGTTTCATGATCAAAACAACTACTTTTGTAGTAAATGCTTAAAATACTTTTTAAATAAGCAGTGATGGACACCAAGCCATTTTGGTATTTAATTTAGCTTCTATTGGGAATATTTAAGTTATTGTTTTTTAAAAAATCAATATATCATCAGAAATGTCCTATTTTTACTTATAAAGTAATGATGAAAAATGTTAGATTCTGATGGGCGGTGGTGGCGCCCACCTTTAATCCCAGCACTCGGGAGGCAGAGGCAGGCGGATCTCTGTGAGTTCGAGGCCAGCCTGGGCTACAGAGTGAGTTCCAGGAAAGGTGCAAAGCTACACAGAGAAACCCTGTCTCGAAAAACCAAAAAAAGAAAGAAAGAAGAAGACTGTTAGCTTCTATCTTCACACATGTGACGACGGCAGGTACTCACAGGCTACGGTCTGTGCAGGCCATCGAAAAAACTGACTTCTAATAGAAAGAAAAGGATTATGGCAGGAAAGTACAAAAGCCATCTCTGGTATCCCTGTCACCAAATCTGGAACTCCGAATTAGGTTCATGGTCAGTAGCCACAAGGTCATGGACACTCCAACCCACACCAGGTTGCCATTTTGGCAACTTGACACAGATTAAAGTCACCTGTGTGGAGGGGCTCTCAATGAAGAACTCCCTCCCTCAGACTGGACTGTGGGCATTTTCTTGATTAAAGATTGATGGGGGAGGGCCAAGTCCACTGTGGGTGGTTCCACCCCTGGGCGGGTGGTCCTGGGTTCTATAAGGAAGCAGGCTGAAGAAGCCATGATGAGCAAGCCAGTAAGCAGTGCCCCTCCACGGCCTCTGCATCAGCGCCTGCCTCCAGGTTCCTGCCCTGTCTTCTCTCAAGATGAACTGTAGCTCTAGCACAAACAAATGCTTTTCTCCTCTGAGTTGCTTTTGATCAACATTTTATCACAGCCACAGAAACCTAATTAGGACACCTATGAACAGCATTTGCAGTGTGTCTTGTAACTTCCAACCTTTAAAGGGATTTCTTCCAAAACACCAGTCGAAAGCCTGTCCGTGAACTCAGTCTCTGGAATGGGGAGTGTGCAAGCCACGCTCCTTCCCCGGCCCGCCCCCCGAATATGTGTGTTTATTGAACGTTCACAGTGTGCCCTGCTGAGGCCTGGTCCAAGAAGCCCAGATGAGGAAAACATAGTGGTCACCTCGAAGGAACACCAGACGGAAGGCTGTCATCCAGCATCAGTCCTGTACTAGGACCAGGGGCAGCATGGAGGACAGGGTGGGGAAGGGGTGATGGAAGAAAAATGCCAGCCAAGCTCTTCAGAGGGACCGGGCTGGAAAACTGAGCATCGGTTTACGGAGAGCACTCAGG